TGTCGTCCTCATGAAGCCATTCAGTGACCTAGAGCTGAAGCCATGAGTCAGTTCACTGGTAGAAAATGAACCTCAGCTATTTAGCAACAGTCACCGACATGTTCTGGTTCCACCTTCTTTAATGTGAGGAGCTGATGCTTTTCTTTGTCAGACATGAGAATCAGCTGAGTCTCTGTGGGTCTGTTGGTTGGACACAACAAGACGTGAAGGCGCCACCTTTGGCTCTGGAGAGTCACAGTGGGACTTTTACCCAGTGTCTGACATTATGGGGACAAACAGATCAATCAGGTCATCAGGACAATGATCAGCTGATTGATCAATGACCCCTGCATTTGTTTCCACTCAGTGAGTCTGGAGTTTCCTGTCAGTTGTCCGTCTGTATTTGTTGAGAATTAATCATACAAAGTGTTGATTGACAGAGCAACTGCTGCCTCTCGTGCACTGGGATGGTGGGTGGTAACGTTACAGTTCAAAATGAGAAGAAAGGTTTGTAGTTCCCCTCTTCATCGGCACCAGTCACTGCATGATTTATAGCAGACATCACTCTGTTTGCCACAATTTCATCATGTTGTGCAGATGTCTTATTTTGACATTTCTAACAACTTCTTTAGTCCTGCACTGCTCGGCTATGTAAATCAGTTGCTGTAGTCCAGGAGGGTGACTGTGCCAAGGCCTGGCCCAAACTTGTCAGTTTTTCATTGCCACTGTGGCAGATTTCTTGGGGTAATTATTAATAATCAATTAATTAAAATGACTTAATGTTTTATTGCCCAGCCTTAGTCATGTGTGTGATTGCAGACTGTAAACTTCTCTTCACGCCACCCAACCCTCAGATTCCCAGAACTGAGAGCAAGGAATTGTGTCCTCAGCTGCGGCCCCGCCTGCTACATCACTGCAACAGCACACGACTCGAACACATCATCTCAGTCCGACATCAGGCCAAAGACTGTCACTGTAGTTTTACATGCAACAAATAAAACACACTGAAACAAAAGCCACAAACACCATCAGGTCATGTGACTCACCGAAGCGTCTCCTCCTGGCTGCAGACAGAGTAAATGTCAACAACACACACTCCTACAGTTTGACTCATTACTCTGTGTGTGTGTGTGTGTGTGTGTTTGTTGTACCTATCTCCTCCAGGTCAGCAGTCATCGACTTGGATCGGAGCGTCAGCGAGGTGCTGGGGGCTCGTTTCGGAGGGGGCGGAGCTGCAAGGCAGGACCAATCAGTCATAAACAGTGTAAGAAAAGCGTGTGCTGCACGTGCTGACACGATCACACGGGCTGCAGGACCAGTGAACTCAAATGTAAAGATGCAGAATGTTGAGGAAGCTACATGGAAACACTGGTTTATTTACATCTTTACACAATGTTCAGGAGGAAGTTTGGTCCATCCTTCCTCACAGAGCTGCTTCAGCTCAGACAGATTCACGATGTGTAGTGTGAACGTCTCTCTGAGCTCAGTCCACGGCATCTCCGTTAGGTTGAGGTCTGGGCTCTGACTGGGACGCCCCACCTAGCAGAGTTTCTTGTTCTGTCATAGATTCATTGTCGAACATTGTGCAGGTCTGAGTCACAGCTACAGGAAGCAGCTGTTTGATGTAAACGCTGCCAAAGGAGCTTCAAACTGTTAATAGATCCAACAGCTCACTTACATTTTCCACCAGCACCTTGAATGTTTAATGGCTGAATTCAGTAAAGGCATAAAAAACTATAATTGTTTGTGTGGTATCAGCTAATTTAAAACCAGGTAATGGTTCGCTGACTTTTTCTGCCCACCGTAAATATATTAAAACGAATGTGGAATTTCATTGGTGATGTGGCATAAATAAAAGGATGTTAGTTGTGAAGGTAAAGTATAAGTCATACTAAAATGGCTGAGCACGGTGACTAGACTACACAAACTACTAGCAGGAGCAGAGATTTTGTGTGATTTGTCACTTAATTTTTTTGTTTTCTATTGTTTGTTGCGTGCTGTTTTATTAAACTATCCTTTGTCTCTGTTCTGGTTGGATGACTATGAAGCCCTTGACCTTTCAAGAGAAAAATCCGTTCTGTTCTCTGACAAATGTCTAATCACAGGTGAACTGATGGTGGTACCTTTCTTCCTGATCAGGTTGGATTCAGATTTTCTGGAAACGGATACAACTTTCATCAGCAGTCGACTTCCTCCCTGTCGGATCAGAGCAACGACCTGCCGGTGACCCACCTTCACCACGTCGGTCCCATTCACCTAGACAGCAGACACACAGGTGATTACAGTGAAGCTATGTTAAATGATCTGCAGCAGAGATGTAGTGATGCTGCAGGTCAGAGAACACAGATCCGTCCCAGTTCCCTTAATTGATCATTCCTCGCTCCTCAATTCTTGATAGATCTGGTTCTCCAATAATCAAAAAATAAAATCAAAACGCACAGAGGTAACTGTGCAGCCATGTTATTGCTGGACAAACTGGTACAACTTCAGAGGAGGGGACATGTCACCTCTCGTTAGCTCTCTCCTCAATGGGATGGGCCCATATAGCTGCAAAGGGCTGGGATAGCCACGGCTGCTGTTTGTTCTGAATGTCACCTGACTCTGAAGCCCTGTGACACAGTGTGAGCAGCAGCCAGGTGAGCATCAATCACCATCACCTTAATTCCAACAGAAACCGAAACACAGTTTATGGCTCCACAACGCTATGCCTCAATCAACTGTAAACAAAATGAATGAAAAGCTCAACCTCATGGTCTCGAGCTCCTTAATTCTCTAAGACGTGTCTTTGACGAGTTACCGGGACACTACAAGAAGAATGATGTGGAGTACTATGCATTATGTAGTAGTATGCATTATGGAGTAGTAGAGCAGATACTTCAAAAGTGCTCAACACTGTCCCAAAACTACAGACTGACTGAAAACTTTGTACCGACCTGTGAACGCACTAAGAACCACAAGTGAAGGAAATGTGGAAGTAACCAAGGGACTTGAGATGTTCACCGGGTGTTACCTCTATGAGGAAGTCTCCGGTCCGTAGCCCTGCCCTCCAGGCCACGCCCCCCTGGTCGACTGACTCCAGGTACTGCAGAGCGGGGAACGCTGGGGTCGGGGCAAACTCCTCAATGGGCGTCTCAGCTTGGAGAAGAGCCAGACAGAGGAAACACGTTAATGCGGTGAACTGAATGCCAGCGTTTCATGGGTTGTTACTGCACCCTGACTTAGAACTTGATTTCGTTTATTTTTGTGAACAGGGACAGTAAATGTATCAGATTTAGTGAAGAACACAACTTTTTGTCTGTCAAAATCAAAATGTCTATAAAGGCACAATATCATAAACTAGGAGACAGAAAATTATTTTTATGTGACTTAAGGCTAAAATATGAAAAACAGAAAACTTTTTTACTGCTGTATTTCCCCTAAAGCGGGCATGGTGGCGCTGTAGCTAGTGCTAGTTTTGCTAACACTGCCTCGAATGCAGAGGTTCAGGAAAACAAAGTCATGCCGTTACCGGGGCAACCAGTCAGCCTCTGAGAGAGCTCCGAATAAATATGAGTTCAATCAAATTATTTCTCATGTTGATCTCCGATACAAGATGTAGTTATCTGGGGGTAGCTAGACAGCTAACTAACTACATCCAGGTCAACTTGCCGCTGGCCTGATGGTCATCCTATGTAGCTGTGACGGCTACCCCCAGATGACTCTATCTTATATCCGCTTTCCTTCTGACTTCTGAGATCATTGTGACTGGAATCGTGTTTACTCTGAGCTCACTGAGAGGCTGACCGGTTGCCCTGGTAACACCACGACTTTTTGTTTCCCCGAACCTCTACACCAGAGGCAGTGATAGCAAAATTAGCACTAGCTGTAGCGTCACTGTACCCACTGCTAGGGGAAATGCATCAGGGTAATAAAAACATACTTCTTAATTCACAGTTTGAAATCATGTCTCCTATTAGCTAAGTCTATATTTCCATCCAAAATCATTAGCACAGTTACAGCATGGCAGCAGCCATTTTGCAATGCAGTAATACAAAAGATCATATTTAGACACCAGTTATGAAGTTCACCTTAAATATTATAGAAATACTGTCACTATTTATGCTCAGTTTGCAGCTCGGCACTGGTTCATAAGAGTAGAGAATGAGGGAGGATCTTCCTCTCAAATCTGATTCTGCTCTTACAAATCCGTACCTGTGCACTGTCACATGCCGAGTTGCAAACTGAGCAGTGTTTGAAATGTGTTTAGTGCACCCTTGTGTTTTGGAGGGGATGCGCTTTCATACCCTATAGATGAAACAGCAAGGAGAATTTTAACATTTTCTGCTGTTCCTCTGAAGACTTTGCTCGGCTTTAAATATCTTCATTCCTTCTCAGTGCCTCCTCCACCCACCACTTCTCCACCCATCCCTCTGTTCATACCTTTAGCTCCTCTGAGGACGAAGCCAAATCCCTCGCTCTCTCTCTTCTGCAGCACAGCCGTTTTCTCCTCGATCACGTAGTCACTGACACACAGACTTTTATCAGCATTTCCAGCTTATTTGTGGTTTAAAAATAGAGCGACTGCACAGCGTGGAGGCTGCAGTCGGCATTCAGAATTAGAAAGTTCACTACAGGCTTTAAGATGCATCTAATTTTACGAGCAATGGAATGTACTTTGGCCTTTCCATTTGATGTTGCTTCTCTGCTACAGTATGAAGGTAATACTGGCCACCAGCATCATCAGCTAACAAACTAGTTGAAGCTGCTTCTCATCTGAGATTTTGGAAAAAGTAACTGAACTTTCTTTGAATTTTACATTTATGTGACTATGTAATAACCTGCAGGTCCACATACGAGGTGTGGTGTAGTGATGGTGTGGTACCTGTAGGAGGTGTAGTTGTCATAGGATCCTACAGTGTAATGTCTGAACAGCCTCTTGGTGCGGTCCTCCCTCGTCTCTGCAACACACAGGACAGCATGTAAAATGACAGGGCATTTAAAAATTGCCACATTTTACAAAAATAAATGTTCAGCCCTGTCTTACATAATATTTAAAGACGTGTGTAGAGAATCCATCCACTATACAGTGTGTGTATATCCAGTATTTACCCAGCCTCGGGTCGTATTGTCTCATCTGGACTTCTTCAACACAGTCGGCCGGAAACCAACCAGTTCTTCCTTTAACACTTCCTTCCCAGAATCCTCCTTCTCCTATAGACAGCACTGTAGGTCCACAACACACACCTTCATCATTACAACAGAAATATACACAAAACCACTGTGCTAGCTCAAAGCATAATGCCGTGATTTTGTATGTTGTTATTGTGCTGAAACCCCGTCCAGAGACTAACAGCACCAGTGAATTTGTGCGTGAGTCCAGACCCTGGTCCAGCTCATCGCTTTGTGCCGTAGACCTCTGCTGTTGTCCACCAGCTATTAACCCCCCTCCAGTGAGCCACCCTGCTGCACTGGGGGGCAGGTTTCCTCCACAGGAAACATGGGAGGCCGTCTGTTTTCGACAGCTCTTGTGGAGGACTACGGCACAGAGCAATAAGCTGAACCAGGGTCTGGACTCACACACATTACAATAAGGACACCACATTTATTGGTGCTGCTGGTCTCTGGACGGGGTTGGTGGGAAATAGCTAAACAAAGTCACCAATCGGAGCCTTTCAAGATACACTATGTAACTTAAGGCCGCACCAGCATGAAAATCCAAATCAATCCACTCTGCTCCACCCAGGCTCCCTCTCCCTGCTCCCCTCTGCGCTCTGCCCAGCTCTTCACACATTTATTATGAATTTACAGTAAATGAGAAGGCATCAAAACTCACTGATTCCACCAGAAATAATGAAATCTCTGACTGGTTAGAGAGGTCAGTCCTGCTCAAAACCTTTAGAAGCTAATATCTCTGCTCTGCTGCCAGTGCTGTTCAATGAGTCTAGGATTCGACAGCTCCTCTCCACATTTTGGAGCAGATTTCTACAACAAAAATATATGAAAAAGTTACATACTGTAGCTTTAACTACACAGAACAACAGATCTCTGACCTTTGACCCTCTCTCCCCGGTGCAGCTGGATCTCCCCGGGACCCTGGGGGACGTGGGACCGGGTGGCGATGAAGGTGCGTCCTGGTACGGCGCTGTACAGCCTCCTCTTCCTCATCTGTGGAGTGAGGGGAGGGGAGGGGGGGGGCTGGTCTCCACGTGACCGCCACCACTCGGGCTGTGGACACACAACTGTAACTTTAGAGATCGTCTTGAAGCCAAATATGTGAGGACCAGCAAAGTCATGACCACTGAAAGACCAACCACACTAGTACTGGCTGCAACTACTACACACTGACTACAGTCATGCCGCTGCCAACTGCAGCTCTACTGTTAAATACACTGCTTCATGCTGAACAGTACTAATGCCAACTGTGTGTGTGTGTGTGTGTGCGTGCATACCTGAGACGGCGTGTTTGACGTCGCAGCGAGTGTGTGTGTGTGTCGTGGTGTGTTTCCAGGCTTTGGAGGGACGGGCCAGGAGAGGAGGCAGGGCTTTCCAGAGCGTTGTCGCTGGCTGAGCGAATCAGAGAGCGAGGAGACGACAAGCCATTTCCAGCCGGTGTCCTGGTCACGCCGACTCGGCGGCGCTTGGTATAGGAGGGAGTTTCTCTGAAGGGAACTACTTGGGCGCATACACACACATATACACACCAACACACAGAGACACACACACAGAGACAGAGTTAACCAACTACTGTAAGATGGCCAAAACACTCACATATACACACATGTTGTAACTGTGTTGAAACTTGCAGCCAACTCACCGACATCAGAGGATTTGTGGATCTTAATGATTTCTGCCAGGTCAAAGTTCCCAGCAATGATGGCCACCTACACACACACACACACACACACACACACACACACACACACGCACACCCACACACACACACCAACAATAACAACAGCTGGATCAGATATTGAGCTTTTCAGTAAGAAAGAGAGCACTGGCATTATTTTTCTTAGTGTCAACAAACCCCATGAAAAGACCAAAACCAGCAGTTTGAGAGCTACTCTGTGGTTCTCAGCACTGGTTCCTATCGAAGACAAAACAATCCCTCACAAATAAAACTGTTTCAGTAATTTAGAGAGATTAACATGGATGATGAGACAAACACTGAACTCCAGGTTGTGTGTCTGTGAACACCAGGCAGTGCTAACACCACCTCTGCAGTGAAGCATGGTGGAGGCTGCATCATGCTGGGGGGTGGCTTCTCAGCAGCAGGGATGGGGAGAGATTTAATAATAATTCTAAAAACACATTCACTCACTTTGTCGTTATGGTTTATTGAGTGTATTTTTAAGTGTTTCAAATTAAATCATCAAAAAGTGAAGGGGGTCTGAATACTTTTTGAAGCATGCAGTATTTGTACTTCAAAGGCAGTCTGGTTGATGTAGTTCTGTGTTACTTTTACCTGAAAGGCAGTTTGGTGGTTGTAGTTCTTGATGTCCTTGTTGGTTCCTCTGAACAGCAGCACTCTGGCACAGCTGTCCTGCAAAACAGGAAGCAATTCTTTCATTAGCTATAAATCAGTCCTCCATATGAAAATCCTCTGCCTACTCTACAGTGCATAGATGAACACAGTTGTAAAAAAAGAAAAAAAAAAAAAAAACTATTTGTCAAGACCAAAGACTTGTCTGTCTGTGTTAATATACTGTGTATTACCTGGTTGTAAAGTGCACAAAGGTGCAGTGCAGTGTTTCCCGATGCATTCTGGGAACTCATGTCGGCCCCATAGAATAGCAGGTGCTCCAAGTGCTGCACATTACCATAGCGACATGCCTGAATTCACACACAAACAAATCATGATTGTACAGGACTTGAACTCTTCATTAGAGCAGTAAATCACCCTGATTGTGTGGTACTGTGTGCGCGTGTCACCTGGTGGATTTCCTGCCACCCGTTCTCGTCAGTCATCCCTGCAACCATAACAACAAGACATCTTTCAGTGGTGAAGTGTTTTTCCCCACAAACAAAATCAATGAATCATACATTCAGTGGGCAGTGTTAAAATGTCACCAGCCACACACACACACACACACACACACACACACACACACACAGGTGTTGGTGTATTATCACAACAGCAGCTGGACGAGATGTTGGACTGGCCCTGCTGAGCCTCCGTACCAATGGTGGCGTGGTCTTGCAGCAGGAGCTCGCAGCAGTAGGGGGCGCCACCGACCATGACAGAGTGATAGAGGGGAGTGAGACCTCTGCTGTCCTTGTAGTCCGGAGATGCCCCCAGATCCAGCAGAGTCTAAACAAACCAGAACAAGACAGGAGAATGCTCAGTACATCCAGAGTTAAGAACAGTCATGATATATATTTTATATTATGTCATTTTAAATATAAAGAGACTTGGTGGGACATGAAAGTTACAAGTTTACTGGTTCTGTTTTTCAGGTGACCAGGATCCATTTGAATGTTTTCTTATTAATCTATAAACATCTAAAAAGAAGCTCTCGTTATTGTGTCCTGTCGACAACAAAATCAATCATATCATCATGTCTGTACTTCGGCTACAAGTTTATAACAATGGATTTTAAGATGTTATTTCCAACTTGTGTTGTTGACCAGTTGTCAAACAATCAATGATTACAAATTATTGTGTGTAAAAAATTATTGTACATAAAATATGTGGAAACCGTAAAAAAATGCCCACCATATCTTCACATTGCTTCTTCTGTCAGCTGATAAATGCTTGACTTAACCCCGACAGTGCTGACCTGTGAGGGAGCCTAAAAGGGAAGATGCACTGTACCATCCAGTTCTACACAACTCTGCTCTAGTTGGAGCACAAACAGTCTCAGATGAAGCAAAGTTAGAATGACTCTAGATTAAACTGTCTTATCGTATCGAACAGTTTGCAGGGGGCCTGTTTTGGCTCCGCGGCCACACTGATCTGCCAACTAGCCCTGCACTCGCTGCAGCACCACCTGCTTTGTTAAGATGGATGACTTAGCTCTGTTAGCAGTGTTCATTCTTTGCATGCCAGAAGTGTTGACCCGAGACGGACAAAATAACACACTGATGAGTTGGTTGTCAAGCTGATAATCACATTATCAGGAAAATAAGAGGCACTGTTTTTAACAGTCTCGTAGCTCCACCTCCAGCAGAAATACAAATCTTTGAATTAGTCTTTTGTCAGTACAATGACTGGTCAACTGTGGCTGGCCACGCCCACAAAAGGTCAGACCAACTGGACTCAAAGGGTACATCCCAGTTCCCTTGTTTGGCCCTCCCCCGCTCAACCTGCCAGTCGTCCTAGTCCGTCCCACAGCTCTTAATCCTTCTCTGGGGCCTGTGGGACAAGGAGCGAGGAGGCTGCTGGGGGAAACATGAACAACGGTTTTTATGGATGGACACGCCCCTTTATCAGTACTCAGTGGTAAATGGATGCTTCAGATGAAGGATGAATGAACGTCTTTAAAAACGCTTTTCCCCAATAGCCCTCGCCTTGCATCTTTTCCTCACATTTTATGTCAGCAACACTAAGACAAGGAAAAGACACAAGGGAACTGCAATTAAGAGAATAGGAATTTGCCCATAGTTCTACAAAAACTTTCAGCGCCCCACACTCAGCACTGTGAGTGTCGATTCAGCATGCCACACACACACAACAATGACCTGGACTGTGCAAAAGCTGTTCTCTGCAATAATGTCAACACACCTTCACAGGGTGAGTTGAAAAATGTAAAGTGTGTGTTTGTTCTCACAGTGAGAGCAGCGCTGTTCCTGCAGAGGACGGCCCGGTGCAGAGCGGTGATACCATCTCTGGTCCTGAAGTCCAGGTGAGCTCCTCCACTGCGGAGAACTTTAATCAGCTCACAGCTCTCCTCCAGCTGTACCGCCAGAGTCAGGGGACACTCTGAGACCCAGAGGGAGACAATTAATCAACATTATATCTGTTCCAATGTAAGAGCTGCACAGTGGAGGCTAAACACACTGAGGACGACAGGGTCATGACCTGGGAATGTGGAGGTTTTAATCTGAGGAGATGAATTTCCACACTTATACAAGAACTTTACATTAAGGATGATTCTAAGTTCTAATAGTTATATTTCTGGGAGTATAAAGATTTTAACCCTTCAGAAATGTCAGACATTTTAGTATTAGTATGAGTGTTGTACTGTGTGCTCACCCCCGCTATCAGAGTCATGGAAGTTGGGGTCCAGGCCTTTCTCCAGCCATTTAGAAACCTTCTCCACGTTCTTCTGATGAACATGTTCCATGAAACGTTTCAGATTGGCCTGAAAAAGTTTGTTTCTATTATTCTCATGTATATTATCTGAAGAAGCAGCACTAAACCTCCAACATCTCATCAGTGAAGCCAGTGCAGACAGAATTAAGTTGGTTTAATTGAATATAGAGGAGAAGAGACACATTGTATAGTGTTATTATTACCCACAGCGCGAGTACGTATACATTGTTATAATCCTGCATTGCCAGACCTACTTAAATTAAGAAGAGTCTGGGTTAACTGCTGCACATACAGTGATTCGTCAAACCAGTTCAGTGCCACAAAATGATCTACTGTGTGTTTGTGTGTGTACCTTGGTGTGCAACTTGGCCAGCTGTTTATCGTCCACGTAGCTCTGCGTGTAAACTCTCCTCTTGTAGCGAAACTAAAGGAGAAATGTGAAGGATTAGTTTATTTACAATGAAATGAATGTTAACAATTTGTGGTTCACACAGAGAGATACACAATGATCACTACGAGAACCAAGCTGTGTTGCCTGTAGTTGTTTTGCGTCTCTTTTAAACTTTGGGTCTTGCGCCTATGTAGGAGGGGTGGGGGCCCTTCACACGTGCCCAGGGACCTACAGTCTGATAATCGGTCCATACATTTTACGTGGGTAGTATCAGTTAAGTTGTAACAGCAAATGAGTCAGAGCTGCTGCTGGAAATCTGGGAGGTGTGATCCTGTTTGTTTATCGCTGCTGTTTGTGTTAGTCTAGAAGATTCCGGCAGACTGGGAACCTTTTCATTACAGACAGTGGAGCCTCAGTTAGCATCAGTATTTGGTAATTCGCAGTCCCACCCATGAGAAACTACTCTCACATAGTTTCGTTTAAATCATATTTGACAGCCTAACGATGTTAAATTATCCAATATTTAACAAAAATGAGAAAGAAGTCCAAAATTAAAACTAATTTATGAATCAGAAGTGATTTTTTTTCTTCTTTGCTCTATCAGGACCCCTAAGATTTATCTGGTGACTCTTTGAAGGGTCCTAACCCCTAGGTTTGGAACCACAAGACTAAACTGTGTTTGAAGTGGTTAAAACTACTACTGATGTATCACTGTTCACTAACTGCTACTGTGATACTTTACTGCAGAAGGAGTACTTTCACTTTTGACCATTTAAGCACAATTAGCAGATAATGTTCAGACGTTAACCTGAGCAGGATTTTGAATGCAGGACTTGGATTGTTTTTACAAAGTCATATTCATTCCTTTACCTAAATAAAGTGTGTGAATACTTCTTCCCCCACTGAATGTGAAGGAGTCAGACAGTACTGTGAGACAGACTAACACCTTCTTGGTCTTTTCATGGGATTTACTGTCATAAAAATGCATAAACGGCAGATGAATCCTTTAAAATGATGTAATGATGCACTTGATAGAAACTGTACCTCCAGGTATGGGATGGGTGTGATGGGGGGGAGGGGATACTCCTTCAGCAGTCGCTCCTCGTCCAGAAACTTTCCGGCTCGGCCGTTGAACGCCGGCTGGAAGAGACCATAGTTCAAAACATCCGACAGAGACTGAGTCAACGTCACCAGAACCCTCTGCTTACTGGTCCAAACTGGTAACTCTGGGTCCAACCGCAAACACTTCTGAGAGAGCCAGAGTCAGAAGAACAGACAGACAGACAGACAGAGAAAGAGACGGACACAGACAGACAGACAGACAGACAAGTTTGTCCTGTTGATTCATTCATTTAACCTCTACGCTCGAGGTGCTGTACATGTACTATATATATCTGTGCGTGTTACCGTCTGCTGCAGGTCCGGGATGCCAATGCGGACAACAATGTTGTTTCCGGGGGGTGTGTCATCGGCGTCGTCGTCCCTGGCAACAGCAGAGCCTGTCGGGTTGCCGTTAGTAACCGCCTGTTGCCGCGGGCGATCATGTTTGGTGTCAGCAGCCGGACTCAGAGGCATGTGGCTGAAACACCAACAAACATTTTGATTACTGTCTGCAGTGCAAACGGTAATTAAGCCCTTTATTTCACCACACACTGATTTGTTGTCATGTGGAAAAACTGTTTTAGTTAGTGTTCACCCTGAACTTACCAAAGTACTGCACTTAAGTACAAGTTTGAGGTACTTGTACTGAGCGCCTTAATTTGTAAGGCGACTAAAGCTGTTAAACAAATTTAATGAAATTGTAATTAGACTGCTCTGAAAGCTCAGATATATCCAACTTTGCACTTAGTAGGGAAGTGCCTGAAAACAACAAATCTGGACGCCTGTCATGAGCCACGGAGCATGTTCAGTGTCATGAAACTCACATTTAATGGAACGGTCGTACATTTTCAACTGCCCCACGACCACCCCTGAAACCACAAGGCAGTGTTGAGGTGTCAGGTGATGTCTCTACTGACTGTCCCATAAGACATGAATGCAGCGTTAGTATGCTAACATGCTAAACTAAGATTGGGACCATGGTAAACATCAGCATGTTGCACTGTCATTTTCAACAACCACTACTGCCAAGGGTTAAAAACTAAACTTTGACTGCAACTTTTATCCATCTTATAATTAGGCTTCCTTAGAAAGAAGTCTGTGCAGATTGTCAGTCATCCAGGTCATAGTAAACTGAAAAAACCTTAGAAAAAATCAACTGGACTTAGATTTCTAGATCGAAGACGTTTCACCTCTCATCCAAGAGGCTTCATCAGTTCTGACTGACTGGTGTTGAGCCGGAGATATTTATCCCCCTCGGTGGATTTTTTTTGTCATTCCCAAAATGAGTAGCAACATGTCTCTGCAGATTCTCAGTCATCCAGGTCATAGTAAACTGAAAAAAACCTTAGAAAAAAATCTACTGGACTTAGATTTCTAGATCGAAGACGTTTCACCTCTCATCTTTCGCAACCACAATATCCCAGTTAACTTTAAACCAGGGAACACCCTGCGGCAGAGACTGGTCCACCCGAAAGACAAAACACCCAGACATAAACAAAGTGATGTGGTGTATGCAATTAAGTGTAGTCAGGAATGTAACGACTTGTACATTGGTGAAACTAAGCAGCCGCTTCACAAACGCATGGCCCAACACAGGAGGGCCGACTCCAGTGGACCAGAGTCAGCAGTCCACCTCCACCTGAAGGACAAAGGACATTCTTTTGAGGACAGTGAAGTCCAGATCCTCTCCAGAGAACATTGCTGGTTTGAGAGAGGAGTTAAGGAAGCTATTTTTGTAAAAATAGAACACCCCTCAGTAAATAGGGGTGGTGGACTAAGACACAACTTGTCTTCCATCTACAATCCTGTTTTGAGATCTCTGCCCAAACATGCCCACCAGGACAATAGGCGTCGGTCGACAGGGGAGGATTCAAAGACAGGTAACGACTCTCACCGATACTGGGCTGCAATGACTCAGTCGTTAAGGGACATTGTTGGCCTTCAAAGGACTGAAACATCACTGAGGGGGATAAATATCTCCGGCTCAACACTAGTCAGTCAGAACTGATGAATCCTCTTGGCTGAGAGGTGAAACGTTCGATCTAGAAATCTAAGTCCAGTTGTTTTTTTCTAAGGTTTTTTTCAGTTTCCTTAGAAAGAAGCACCATAAACTTGTTTATTTTGCCACAACCCAGATGGCTGAGGCAGCCGCATCTCTTGACTTTGTCTGGAATGATGAGGTGTCTGTGCTCTGTACCAACACTGACAGCTGATGAGACTTTGTGTCAGAGAGACTTCAGAGATATTAGCATGAATCTGACAGCCTCCCACAGACATTTCTCACTGCAGACATTTTGCATTTTCAAATACAGGTCTAAGTGATAACAGGAATAATGGCTGCTTTCCATTCGCACTGCAGAATGTGACACAGCCATGTTAATGTAATCCAAAGCCCAAATGTCGTCTCTGTTGGACTTCTAATTGTGGCACGACATCTTGTTCAGATTTTCTGCTGGCTCCAACTCTGATCTGACCTCCACCTTCTCCTCCGCTAATATTGGCTTCAGGATGTTACATCATATCCTGTTTTTCACCCTCAGCAAAATGTCCACACACACGTTCACACAGGGAAATATCAAAATGTCTCAGAAAGTAGTTGAATCACGAAGTTCACAGACTGCACAAAAAAGATTCGTTTTTTCTTTATTAAAGAGAAAATCAAAATTATTTTATTATTTTGTGTGAGGAAGGAAATAGAGAAGTTAATCTCTTCTAATATCTTGTATAATCAGAATATTTAGCAGCTTTTGGCTGGAATATTTAGTAAACAGGATGCAGCAGCAATTTTTTATTTAATGTGTAAAGTGGGACTTAGTATCTTATGAAAATTATACTTATGTTAGCATAAAAAAAGAATAATTTGACATTTGCGGATCCATACACCTCTCAAGTATGCACAGCTGGCTTTGCTTACTACCACCTTGAAATTTTACTAATTAACATATAACTTGTTTGTGTAACCGACACAAACATGCAATTAATGAGGAACAGGTGGGCTTTTTAGCCTCATTAGCAGCCCAGCTCAAAGAACAGCAGTTTGTTCTGCCAGTAAACCACTTTGCTCCAGGCTAAAATATCTCAACAGCTACTGGATGAATCATCATGAAATGTGGTCTCTATGTTCATGTTCCCCTCAGGATGAACTGTAATAACTTTGGTCTCCCTCTGACTTTCATATCACATTTTCTTTGGTCCAATACTTCGATTTATGACCAAATACCCAAAGAGATAATGTCATTTCCATCAGCCTTAGCTGTACTTTCAGTTTAGTGCTGTGTTTTAGCATGCTAACTAAGATGGTAAACACTATGCTTGCTTAAAGTGATACCATGTAACTTTTAAAAGAACTTATTCATTTTTTCCACTTACAAATCAAATCCCAGTACATCAGTTCAGTACATTTAAAGGTTTAGCTGCTTAGTTAGTCTTGCTCTTCGTGACCTTAGATTACAGTGGCTAATGTTAGCAATACTGTTATATGACAGACATTACTGAGTCAGTTCACTTTATTACTAGTGCTGCCTTTTTCACATTTTGCCACTTGTGGCCATGACTCAGCAAAGCTTATGCAGTCTCGCTTTAACATGTGCATGTTACCATGCTAATGTTAGCTCAAAGCACTACTGTTCGTTAGTACACCTTCACAGAGCTGTTAGCATGGCTGCAGACTCTTAGGACTGGGTTATACTAGATGCTACTTCTACTTCTGGGCTGACTGAGGCTGTTATCTGCCAGTGTTGATCAGATTATCTGTATGTGCCAAAACTGCCAGATGTGGAAGTAGCATCTGACAATCACGTTCTATATGCCAGGTTTGTATTAGGCCATAAATGTTTGGCTGGTTAACTATGTAGCTTCCTGCTAGGCTTGCAACTAATGATTAAATTCATTATTAATTAATCTACTGATATTTCTCAATTAACTGGTGAATCACTCTGTAAAACAAAAAATTGTGAGAAAACTTCTGTAGCCTGAAGGAGTACGGTCCCAGATCGATGACTTGAGTCTTTGGAACTGTTAGGTATTTTTAGTCAGATAGACATTGGTTAGACAGTTCATGTATTAAAAATGTTTAGTGTAGACAGGATGTCTAGCTCAGGCTGTTAAATGCTTAGTCATTCCCATGGGGTACTCCAGGTTGTTCAGGTTCAAGGATAAGTAGATAGAAAGTTGATTACTGTTAGGAGACAGAATGTTTATTATTATTGTTATGACGTGTTTAACCATAATTTGATTTTGATTTGATTTGATTTATTCTTTCAAACATGTAACAACAGTCAATATGTCAACACACATAATTCCACACATATCCACAAGTATATTATCAATTTGCTTATACCTAGTACATGCTTGAACGGAGTAGGAAGAAGTTAGACTTATCTAGTCCTACCCCCTAACATCATCTTATCATCATTGGTTTGCAAGCAGTATTACTACATGGATA